ACCCTATTGGCTAACGCAAACCTTTTTTTCTATGCCGATGTTGAAACTGACCTGTTCTCTCTAGATCGACCCAAATGAACTGCACTGGCGCCTTAGAAGGCCTGAATTCGAATGCCTCTCCTATGGCATGATACCCTGGTCCGTGAGTCAGAGAGCTATGGTGTACGCATGTGCGCGGTGTCCTGCAATTAGGACGAAGAGCTAAATAGTCTTCATGTGTAACTTTGTCTACCAGCTCTAGCAGCCGGTAAAGCGTGAGCGACATAGCTCAAGTTGCAGGACTGCCTCGCCTACGTACTCAGTGATCCATCGGAGCCAGTCTCAGGTGAGTCAACACCTGGGGCTAAGGTGTCAACAGCTGATGGCCTTAAATAGTCCAAAATGTGGACATTTAACTCCATCTCGCCTTCTTGTCTTTGTTGGCAGCACTTTCTGATTATTTACTGCTAGCTGCTACCCGACCGTCTGGAGCTCCAAGACACAACCTAAATGCTCACTTCAGCCCTGAACTCTAAAATGATTTGACAACGCTGCAACCTCCGTGATGTTGCACATTTGCACGTCGTTCATGAGATGACTAGTCTGGCTTGACGAATCATCGTCTCTGGTTGCCACCACAGCATACTGACAAACAGGGAGGAGGACAAAGAGCAAAGTTGATCATGTGCGAGCATTCCTCGCCAAAATCTCTTTCCCATGCCTTCCCTTACTTCTCAGTAAATAGGTATTCCCTGTCCTGCCCTAACCCTAACAATAACCCTGATCTTGATTCCAATCATAAACCTCAAATGTGTAGCGCAATGCCACCAGTAGTACGGGAGGGTTCTGATTTCCATGTACCACCATTTCTTCATCTAACACAAGTTGGCCACGAACGTAGACGAATGTTCGACTTCCGGGTGTATGTATGAGCGTAGAAATAGGAGGCTGTTTGATCACCAGAACCATTTATTTTTTGCTTGAGCTTTTGAATTTCTAGAGTTTAACCAGACTGCCGTGGCTGATTTTAGTTTCATACTGGTAAGCATTATCAAATTAGTGTTATGGACTTTATTTAAAATCTTTCCAAAAATAGTTGTGATTAGAGATGTCATTTCGGTGTTCAGCTTTGTGGCGTGAGCATACCGACATGCTGCAGGGATGACGCAACCAGCTGTTTTATGACTGTTGCTGATTATGAAAAGCGTATTTTTTCATCACCACCCAATCCGATCATGGTGAGGCTTCCTCTGCGTCAAGGAGGATCGCAAAGCAAGAGTTGCCCACGCAACACTCCGTCGGCGAGGGATGCGTCCGGAGAGCGCCCTCCTCCTCAGGGGGCGGAATCAATCCGTCCTCAAGTGGTTGCAATACAGACGTAAATAGTCAAACCGCGCCAGAAAAGACGGCTGACAACTTGGACAAGGATGCGAGAACAAGAATTGGCGACACAGATATCAGACCCAAAGTTGCCCATGGCGTTTCAAACTGACGAAGCTGACCAGACGTTAGACCTTCGTGCTGCCAAGATCATTCGCCAAAGCAGTTGCAGGAGGCATCACCAACAAGCAGCGCTGTCCACTGAACCGTACCCACCCAAAGGGGCAGCACAGTGTGTGGGAAGGAGGTACCAGGCAGGGGAGGGGGGGGGCGACCAATCAACAGCTAGCATTTGGTGATATTTGGGGCCGACAGCGGGACGTCTCCAAACGCGGACAGGGCAATAGCTGCACCAATCTCTGATGATGGACAGTCAAAGTTCCTCTTCTAAATGTCAAACGCCTCATGAACATATTCCAGTGAAAACTGTAATTAATGTCACTCTGGAATCCAAACCTTGCTAGTGTCGGTATCAAGGTACTGTTAAAATCAAGTCCCCGCGTAACATCCCTCCTGTATAGGAAGCAAGTGTATCTCACTTTAGTCGAACCCAGTCGTTATTTCTTCCTTTTGTGCTACTTATGAACGCTGTAGCCAACGTTGAAGCGCTTCCCTCTGTGAACATTTGTGCAGTGACGCTGTCCTTCATCATTTGAACCAGTCCAAGTACCATCCGCACAAAAGCTGAGTGCTGTACATACAATGCCCTTCGCGATATTTCACTCTGTATGGTGCTGACACATTATGGCACGCCGGTAACACTATGTGTAATTATTTACCACACACGATTGTATACTACTGGCTGCCCGTTGACAAGTTGTGAATATTATGCGGTTATTCCGCAATAACTGATGGATTTCAGCCCAAATATTCCTATCATCTTTCAGACCATGCCTGAAAAATTCTTTTTCGAAGCATGTACTCCAACTTCGTGCATTATTTTTCTCAGAAACCAGGCAAGGCAGATAACATTATGTTTACTATGCGTTTGTTGCCTACTTAATATATTTCAGCAGAACTTTTTAATAAAGCAACTTATGTCACCTTAGGTTGATGACCCCTGCTATCGGATCAGCATGTAAGTTGACATATCAGTCAGCTCAGCGGGAGAGAGGCTCGGTGGTTGGAGCGTTGGATTTCAAACCAACAGGTCGCAGAACCGAGCTCCAGGTGTTCCACACCTCGGAGTTTGGTATGACTGGCTGACGACGGCTAATAAACCGGAAATGGCCATTCCGCTCTCCCTCGACTTTGTCGTTAATGCCAGAGAGAGTTTCGACTGAAATAGATTCCCTTCTGCCTTTCTGAACAAGGTCAACATTCGCCCTAGTAGTAAAGAGGCGTATCAACGCTCGCAGAAACTGCATCCTATAAATACTGCAACACTTAACTAATTCCGTCTCTGATGATGCATTCGAGTGTCAGTCTGAGACGCCGGATAAGTTAAACTCTTGTTCCAGCGATCTTGTCTCCCCTTCAAGATCGCCAAACAGATAGGACGAACTGGACTGGTTCGTCTGTTTGAAGGTGGCAAAACAATGTTTCCGGGGTCTCCGAACAACAGATCAGCCGTCCAATCTACCCCCCTCCCCACCCCAAACCGTTGACCTCTTCTTCCCAGGGTCCAAGGCATACAATCCCAACACTGAGGGTTCACGAAATAACAACCGGCTTGAAATAGTAAGCAATCTCGAGGAGCATGAATATTCATCATCTAACTCGAATCGGACAAGAAAGGATGCCATCATCAGAGGAGAGAAGAAAATGGGTGTGTCATTGAGTGGTATTTCTGGGTTGTCGAACTATGTCAATGGAAACACTAAGGAGCAGACAGCAAAATTCATTCCAAAAAAGAGTCGATGTAAATAGTTCCCTCCCCTTTTATTCAGAAGTCGGAAGTCCTATTCGCAGGCCCTCTTGCATCCTTCCAGAGTTGCAAACCTGTTGGCGTTTCCTCCACAACCGCCGTAGATGAAGCGCACACATTTGCGCTGTCTTCTATCGAAGGCGTAATGAGGAAGATAGGCGAGGCAGTTTCCGGCCTCAATGGGCAACTCACAACGATTCTCTCGACCTGAAAATCATGATGGGTTGAGAATGTGCCACCCGTGCAATGTTAGTTCGCGTACTACTAGTTCAAAAGGCCAGTTTGGGCATCTACCATCCCTTGCTTGCTTATAAGTCAAGGAAATCTGATGCAGTACAGACTGTGGTGCTCTGTCAGTTTGGTTTTATAACAGACGATTTGTCTTCGATTAGGTAAAAATGACTGCTTAAATAGTATGATATTTACTACTGATTTCTAATGTGCTCGTAAATTCAAACATATCTTACAGGTGACGTTTGCAAAACTACCCTTTCTAAAACCCATTTTACAGGAAATCACGTACTCCTGAAAGATTTCTACTTAGAAAAAAAGCGTCTTTAGGTTTTGAAAATATTTTTTGTCCTCGAATAATTTTAACTCCTTCCAGCAATGGCCCTTGCGCCTAGAGTTTCCAAACTACATGCTTCACACTGTCTGTGTAAGGATGATTGTATGTTTCTCAAGGATGCCTAGAAGATGTCATGTAGGGGACATAAAATTTTGCAATTAATGTAGACCATGTTGCCTACTATAAAAGCAGCTTCAACAAATGTACAGATAGGATGCTTTGTGGATATATATGCCACAGTTTTGCGAAATCTACTGACCAGAAGCATTTTTTAAAAGCAAGAAATTCCTTTCTCCGCAGTGGATGTGGGTTATGTTGTAAACTTCATAAGCAGCACTATTCTATTCAATATACCTGAATTTATACGGGCATCGAAAATCAAAGTAGAAGCAAACCATTTGATCAGAACTTTCTTTTTTCGGGTAGTCGAAAAAAAGGCATTCTAAAACCCAAATGCCGGCAAGGCTAAAAAATATTATAGGATAATGTCGCACGATAATCAATATCATAAACTCACATAAGAAATCCTTCCTTATCAAAAACGCAATTCAGAATCTCAGCTGACATCTCATGAGATCGTTCACTCACTTCAAGTCCCTATATGACCGGGATAATTTTACCATCGAGAATTACCTAACGCATTTCTCAAAGTAGGCGTTATTCGATAGACTTTTCAATTTACACCTTCGTTTTCTTCCTTATTTCACGTGTTAGGTGAACTCTTTCCATCGATTACTCTGCGCGTACGTCTCGAACTGTGATCTTTCCGATTTTTATATTGATCTTATGAATAAATTCAACCCGCAGTTTGTGCATTAGTTCAGTTCAGTTTATTTCAGTTTATTTGAGGGAAATATAGGTGTTGAACCTTTGAACTCCCTATTTGTTACATGGAAGCGAACTATATCAAAAATTTGAAATGGAAACATCAAACAGCTACAGAGTGTCTTCAGATTAGCAGAGTTTTCGAGTCAGACAAATAAACGAATTGTTCCAAGAGTTAAAAACATTAACGTTACTAAGTGTGCTGTACAGCAATCTGTCTATGGATAGTTGGTGCTATCTCAGTTTCGGAGGGAGACGAATTAGATGCCAGCACACATTCAACAGACATTGGACAATAATAAAAAACAAACGTTACTGAAATACGGGCAGTAATATAACAACATTAACAAACTGTTCGAATGAAATGCTAGACGTTGTCGGTCAGGTGGCATTATGACGCTTGGTGGTAAACTGGTCCAACTTGCGCTTAAAAGCCTCGACGGAGGTGGACATGACTACATCTGTAGGCAGAGCATTCCAGGCCTCAATCACTCTGTTTGAAAAGAAGGACCTCCGAATGTCCAGCTTGGCGCCAGTTACGCGTAGCTTAAGTGGATGACCTCGGAGGTTCGTTGTAGTCGCTAACTCCAAGAAATCAGCAAGTAGGAGACAGCAGTCGTGGCCGCGCAGTATACGGAATGTTTGTATAAGGTCGCCTCTTAGCTGTCTGTAACTGAGTGGAAAAAGTCCGAGATTGGACAAACGTGTTTCATAGGGTAGGGAACCCTGTCCACTTACGTTATGCGTTATCCATGTGATGCGACGACAGAAAACATCCGAGGAGTCTTCGTGAATGTTTTAGTGAGAATAAATCGCATTGTTTATGCTTGTTTTGAATTCCTGTCGCTAGCAAAATACCTCAAGAATTCGAGTTTTTAGCAAATGTACGGAAAAGCAAACCCTCACGGGGCTTGACATAGTAAACAATCTCGAGGAGCATGAATATTCATCATCTAACTCGAATCGGACAAGAAAGGATGCCATCATCAGAGGAGAGAAGACAATGAGTGTGTCATTGAGTTGTATTTCTGGGTTGTCGAACTATGTCAGTGGAAACACTAAGGAGCAGACAGCAAAATTCATTCCAAAAAAGAGTCGATTTTAACAGTTTCCTCCCCTTTTATTCAGAAGTCGGAAGTCCTATTCGCAGGCCCTCTTGCATCCTTCCAGAGTTGCAAACCTGTTGGCGTTTCCTCCACAACCGCCGTAGATGAAGCGCACACATTTGCGCTTTCTTCTATCGAAGGCGTAATGAGGAAGATAGGCGAGGCAGTTTCCGGCCTCAATGGGCAACTCACAACGATTCTCTCGACCTGAAAATCATGATGGGTTGAGAATGTGCCACCCGTGCAATGTTAATTCGCGTACTACTAGTTCAAAAGGCCAGTTTGGGCATCTACCATCCCTTGCTTGCTTATAAGTCAAGGAAATCTGATGCAGTACAGACTGTGGTGCTCTGTCAGTTTGGTTTTATAACAGACGATTTGTCTTCGATTAGGTAAAAATGACTGCTTAAATAGTATGATATTTACTACTGATTTCTAATGTGCTCGTAAATTCAAACATATCTTACAGGTGACGTTTGCAAAACTACCCTTTCTAAAACCCATTTTACAGGAAATCACGTACTCCTGAAAGATTTCTACTTAGAAAAAAAGCGTCTTTAGGTTTTGAAAATATTTTTTTGCCCTCGAGTAATTTTAAACCCTACCAGCAGTGGCCCTTTCGCCTAGAGTTTCTAAACTACATGCTTCACACTGTCTGTGTAAGGAAGATTGTATATTTCTCAAGGATGCCTAGAAGATGTCATGTGGGGCTCATAAAATCTCGCAATTAATGTAGACCATGTTGCCTACTATAAAAGCAGCTTCAACAAATGTACAGACAGGATGCTTTGTGGATGTATATGCCACCGTTTTGCGAAATCTACTAACTAGAAGCATTTTTAAAAGCAAGAAATTCCTTTCTCCGCAGTGGATGTGGGTTATGTTATAAAATCCATAAGCAGCACTATATTATTCAATATACCTAAATTTATACGGGCATCGAAAATCTAATAGAAGCAAACCATTTGAGCAGTGCTTTGTTTTAAATGGTGCAGTTTTTTCGGGTAGTCGAAAAGAAAGGCAATCGAAAGCCCAAATCCCGGCAAAGATGAAGTATTATAGGATTATGTCGCACGATAGAGCTGCTGTAGACGAAATGTCATCAGTTGGGTCTGTACTCATGGAGGTGCAGCTATGGTATCATTTTGCTACGTACGTGATTGAATTTCTCCCAGAGTGCTCATAGTCGTGGCTTCCGAGAATTCTAACCGTGGGAATAGCTTAATCCGCCTCTCAGAAACGAGAAAGAGAGAGAGCGAGCGAGAATGCAGCTGCAGGGACTCCTACATGATGTGGTCTCTGCGGCACTTGTAGTGAGCGCGAATCGCATCCGTCCCCACCCCTGGTTGTGTAGAAAACTTGTTCACAGTGCACCGATCGTGCGTGTGCGTGGCACGCGTAGACGGACTGTCTGGCGTGGCCAATCCTGCCCCCACCCGTCCTCTTGACTCTTTCTTGACATCGAACCCGGTTGTGTAGATGGGGAGAAGAGAATGTGCGGGCCCTGCGCAAGTCATGAAAGTCACTGTCCCTGCACCCCCACATCTACCCCCTCCACTTTTGTGGGGCACATAATGAACATAGTCGAAGAGGATCGCTGAGAATTCACTCAGTAAGAATTCCAAAGAATAAGTGGCCAGAGGACAACAAGTAGAATCAAGACTTACTATTGCCGCCGCAGGTTCGCTGGCACTCCTCAAGGCTTTCGAAGCGGTTGCCATTGCCACCGCAGCCACCGTAGATGAATTTTTCGCAGCGATTCACCTCGGGAACGTAGGCGAAGCTGGGGAAGAAGCCTCTGCATAGACCGGGCTCGACTGGCAATGTGCAGACATTGTTGCCCGCTACAAGTAAAACAGTTGGTGAACATGGGTGATCAATTTACAGCTTTACACTACTCAAATTAAGTCAGTGTGGGCCAGAGTACATTGAAAATGGCAGCAGATTCGAAGTCCGAATATTCGGACCGAATTCTGCTGCGAAAAATTTGCGTTTACCAGTTATTGACATCGTAACTCGCGACCAGGCAGCATCGGAAAATATACTTTACAGGCGATAAACTTAAACGAATGCACGCTTTCAAAACCATTACATATATATACATATATGCGTGTCAAGTGGGCGTTTGGTCCTCACTGTTGTGGTTGGGATCTCACTTGATCTCATTCTGTCCGCCAGCCAGCTTACTACTGGCGACAAGGAACGCTGTGTCATAGGACACCTACCACATAGGACACATAGTGAACTCGTTAAGAGTAGAACAGGCCAAACACAGACAGCTGTTTCACGGTCGTTACCGATCATTAGTACGTCATATACCTTACGAAGTGAAGTATAGAAGCATGTCAAAGGGACGTTTGACCCTCACTGTCGTTGTCGCCAGTAACAAACTGGCGGGCGGACAGAATGGGATCCTAACCACATCAGTGAGGGTCAAACGCCCACTTGACATGCTTATATACCTCACTTCATAAGACCTGTGGCGTACTGATGATCGGTAACGACCGTTAAACAGCTGTCTGCGTCTAGTCTGTTGCACTCTTAGCGAGCTGCCTATGTTATATATGTACGTTTATGTATAGGATGGTAAAGGGACACCCACGGATCACATAACGGAACTCACTCGTCAGGATGTGTCTTGGAGCTCCCTCTCGAACCCCGCCAGCAGACGCATAGCCGGGCGTTATATTTATATACAGACTTAGGTTAAAAACGCATAACTTAGATAAGACACTACACGTGGAAGGAAGGCAGGCAGTTTTGGAGTCAACGATAAAGAGTCTGAATTGACCATCCTCACAGTTTCCGGAGGCTGCATAGACCCCATACCTGAACCAAAATGCTTAACCCCAATGTCCGTCATTGGTTTCTGAGGCATCTCTTAATGGGATAAGGTAGGGAAATGAGATGGGTTGGGAAAATACTACAAGGAGCTCTAGAAGGAGTCATTCCATATTCTGTTAACTGGGAAAGGGAAGCGTTCGTCAGTGTTAAGGCGAATACTCCGGATCACACTTCTTCGACGCTGGACTTATACTCACTAACCTGACTTTAAATGCCTGCGATACTGGAATGCAGACAAATGCGAAAGATTATAAACGCTGCTTTCAGCATCTCGTTTGTTAGCCCTATGCCGAAATGTACAGGTCTCACAGTCAACGGAATGCCGATACATTCGTAGGACAGAAGTCAGCACACCGGAAACACACCAATCAGAAAGGGGGCACTAACCTGCACTGGTGCTAAGAGCGAGAAGGAGTGCGAGGCAGAGAACGCTGAACATGCTTGGCTATCCCCTCGGTATTGCTGAATTTGCCCGCAAATGAGGGGTATTTATATCTGCCGAGGGCAGCAATTTGTGCGCTCTTTGCTGTCGATGATTGCCAAAATAGGCGTTGCCTGTCTAGTTGATTAAGGTGCTTCAATGCGCGCACCGGAAGCGCTGTCAAAGTGTCGGGCTGCACTTTCGCAGCAGAGACGACTGCGTCACTCTGGGACTGGCTGTAAATCAGCTGATCATTGTTCAAGCAGATCCCATTCTTCGGGGGCCCGGCATGAATGACTGCGTAAAAGTACAGTGCTTAATTGCGGCGGATTCTAATGGCAGACGCAGCAATTCCGACCATAGATTTTATAACCCAATCGGTCCGAACGTTGAGGTCGGCATCAGCGGCCACTTATCCCTGTTATTTTGGCAAAATATCCGACATTTATGTGTTCGAAGGTCCGATTTTTTGCATGAGAACGAGAGAGAGAGATGGTGAAAGGAGAAAGTGCATGCTTGTAGTGTAGGCAAGGTTTTGTCCCACATGGTAAATCGATGGCTGTCGCTCGGTTGTAAGGCATCTTATAGGCTGGCGCTTCCTCGAGTCTAAACTGGTAAGGTGGCACAGCACGAGTGTTGAGTTGTGTTCATACTTAGGCGCTTTTCACCATCGGCCAATAGAATGACGTCAAGCAAATGAGTAGCACTGACGAGCTGTTTTGTTATCGAAATCAACTGCATCAATTTTCCTGACTTTAGAAATGCCTAGAGTTGCTCAGATGATGGATGCTGGATGTTGAAAAAACGGATTGCATCTCGAGAAAATGTTTATAAGAGAGGACTGCGAAACTTTGGTTTGGCGTGGAATCACTCGCAAACGGACATCAATGCATGGATCTAATATCTATGTTTATTAAGTACAACTTTAAAATAATTAAAAACATAATTGAACTATAAAAGGCAGTTTTGCATTGCTTCGAAAAGCCGATGATTTTTAGAAAAGCGCAAAATCCTAAAAACGTCAAAAAAGCTTGTAATTTGAGGAAAATAAAGTGCTCAATGAATCGAGAGACTTATTCGACTGACTTTTCGAAGGCCTGGATTGGCTGTCTATTATCACAGCGTCTAGTGATAAATCCATGAGAATTTTGAATGGCAGCCGGACCAGTTGGCCTTGGACTGATCAATTTTCCTCTTCTTTCACTACCTTGGCCCATTAGCCGTCGCCTGTGAGTGTTGGTGGACTCCTTTACTGTGTGTCGTCGACTCAGTTGGAGTTAGTTGCGTTTGCGTCCCCATCTTGGGCGAATTGGTCGACAGGCCGTGTTTGCTCAGTGGTCTTAGACTCCATATGACAGTCTTGTCTTCTTCACGGTGTATGTAGTGACGTAGGACTTTATACACCGAAGGAAGGTCTAAATTTCTGTCGATGGAGTTGGCATCTGAGTATTAAGACTCAAGTGTGATACGTTCTGTCCATGAGGCCCCCTGCCTCAGACGGCTGCTCCTTGAAAATCAAAACTGTGACCATTTTCCCCGACGTGAGCCGCAAGCTGTGAGTTTGGGTCTAGTCTCCGAGTTGCCAGTTTGTGCTCATGTAGGCGGGTCTGCGATTTCTGTCCGGGTTACCTAACGTATTTGCGGTCTCCGTCGTTACAACGTATTTGATAGATAACTGCTGAGGCTTCAGTGGGTTGCAGTATGTATTTAGGTTGCGTAAAACGGCGACGAATTGTTGCCTGGGGTCGATGCCAATGCCTACCCTGACGGGTTGTAACAGTCATGAAGCCGCCTCAGAGACTCCCTTAATGTAAGGAATAGCCCTACTGAATTCGGGTTGTTCTTCTCGTGGCCGTCGTCTGTTGACTCGGCGCTTGCTTTGCTTGATGAAGTACCTTGGGTATCCAATGGCTGGAAAGAGGTCATGAAGGTGTTGTCGTTCAACTATTTTGTCAGCTGGTGTGCTTCAGTGTTTTTCCACTCTTTGGAATAGAATACGGACACAGCTGCGTTTGTGTGTGTGTCCTGCGGCCTCCCTCGTCTCCGGTCTTCTTGACACTGACTTGATACCGGGCTAAACTGGGGGAGAAGGAGGGAGCGTAGGTAGATGCAGCGCAAGTCTACTGGCACTATAAACCCTTGCGCAAGTCACCGTCCCTGCTCCCACCGCTGCTGAAGCTGTTGGGCACACGGTGGACATCGTCGAAATCGATGGTCGCACTGCCATGTGTGTGTGTGAGCGAGAGAGAGATAGAGAGGGTGATTGCTGTTAAAGTGTAGTATTTGTCTTGTGTTGGATGCTTTTCTGAAGACGTTTGTTTTTAACTGCCCAGTTGCACACCGATGCACAAGGACAGTGGTTGTTTTTTTCAGCTTCCAGTGTGAATTGGATATTCGCGTTAACCGAATTCAGTAATTCTTTCAGGTGATCCACGTCAGATGGCGCACCAATTGCGAAAGTGGCTTCAACCTGCAATGGCTCCTTTTTGATGTGGCCTTTATGGCATTCCCACCACAGCGTGGGATCCGAGCCAGGCGTCGGCGGCGCGCCCAGGTGCGGCTTCGGTCGTGCCAGCCTCCAAATCTCTGTTGTTGGTTGAAATCCTGGTTATAGATGTGTTGACCAGGGGGTGTGGGGGAACGCCGAGGTGAGGATCCGTCCCAGCCATCCACCTGCGGCCTCCCTCGTCTCCGGTCTTCTTGACTCTGTCCTGACACCGGGCCCAGGCGGGGGAGGAGGAGAGAGTGTAGGTAGATGCTACACAAGTCTACCGGCGCTATAAACCCCTGCGTAAGTCACCGTCCCTGCTCCCACCGCTGCTGCAGCTGTGGGACACACGGTGTACATCATCGAAATCGATGGTCGAACTGTCGTTTGTGTGTGTGTGTGTGCATGTGTGTGGGGTGTAGGGGCGTCAGCGGTGGGTTCACGTGATGGTCGTAGTGGTCGCTCACATGCTTGCAGGTGAGACTACGCCTAGTGTCCACTTGCTGGCACTCAACTCTCACCTGTGGATCCACGTAGCTGAGCACTGCTCAGCGGCCACATCCCGGACAACCGCCTCGACCGGCAGGCTATACCAGGTGCGCATTGTGCCACATGCACAGGGTAGTGCGGACTCCATTGAACGGTTGGTCGGATGGAACATCGCATCGGCATCGTCGAGACGAGGCTCCGCCTGATACGCCGTTGATCATCCGGTGGGATGCATCTTCAAATCGGCATCGCTGACTCGCGCTCACCTAGGAGACCGCAGGCTTACGGGAACGTCTTAAGTCATTGGCAAATTCGAGTCGTACTTCCACTGCCAAACAAATTCGTGGCCGACCGTGGGGTTCGGACGCGCCGGCACATTAAGCAGTCCTATTCGCAGTCCGGGCACTGTTTCTCTTCGGAGGAGGCCCGGAAAAGCTGGCATAAAAATTGCTGGGAAATCACGTCGTCTGCAGGCGCACCGTGGTCGCGGACGCAAAATTCACGGCCGAAACAATCAAAATCGAAACAACAGCAACAACAAAAACAACAACAACAAACATACTCATTCTACTCATCCTACCTATTCTTCCTCTTCCTCTGCCTACTCTACTCCTTCGTCCTCTTCTTCTCCATTTCCTTCCCGTTGCCCATCTCGATGTCACCAGACTGGCAGGGTGAGTCCGCTCACACTGGCAGCCTGAAATGTTCTTTCCCTTTTAGACAATCCGAGGTCCAGCCGAACGGAACGGAGAACAGCGCTAGTGGCACGGGAACTGGCGCGCTACAAGGTGGACATCGCCGCACTCAGTGAGCCCCGATTCTCCGAACAAGGCCAACTGGAGGAGGTGGGTGCCGGCTACACCTTCTTCTGGAGCGGTCGACCCAGGGCAGACCGACGGGACGCGGGTTTCGCCTTCGCCATCCGGACCGACATCGTGGGACGACTGCCCTGTTTGCCGAAGGGCATCAACGGTCGCCTGATGAGCCTCCGTCTGCCTCTCCGCCGGGGTGGGGGTGAATTCGCCACCCTCATCAGCGCCTACGCTCCGACGATGACCAACCCCGACGCCGTCAGAGACAATTTCTACGAGAATCTGCACGCCCTCTTGGCGACTGTGTTGAAGGCGGACAATTTGATTGTCCTCGGTGACGTCAAAGCCCCCGGAGTGGAGTGCTGTGTCCCATGGTCTCCGCGGCTCAAACGACAATGGTCTGCTGCTGCTCCGCACCTGTGCACAACACCGCCTCATCCTGACGAATACCTTCTTCTGTCTGCCGGAGCGAGAGAAGGCCACCTGGTGGCATCCTCGGTCGCGTCAGTGGCACCTGCTGGACTATGTCCTCGTCCGGAGGCGAGATCAGCGGGACGTGCTGGTGACGAAGGCGATCGCGGGTGCTGACGGGTAGACCGACCATCACCTCCTCATCTCGAAGATGCGTATTCGTCTACAGCCTCGAAAGAGACCACACGGTAATCGACCCCCAGGTAAGCTGAATGTTACCTTGTTGTCTTTGCCCGCTCACCATCTCTATTTCAACAATGGGCTAGCTCAACGGCTAGACAACCATCCTTTCGCTGCCGACGCCACCGCTGCCGAGAACGACTTCGCGGAGAACCGTTGGTGTCAACTGCGAGACACAGTCCAGTCGACGGCGCTTGCCGTCCTCGGTCGCACTCCCCGCCAACACCAGGACTGGTTCGACGACGACGACGCCTCCATCAGCAATCTGCTCTCCGAGAAGAACCGTCTACATAAAGCCTACGTAGATCACCCCACTGAGGACAACAAAGGTGCCTTCTACCGCAGTCCCCGCCAACTTCAACAACGACCGCGCGAGATGCAGGACGCCTGGACTGCTCGCAAAGCCGAGGAGATCCAAGGGTACGCGAACCGCAATGAATGGAATAACTTCTTCTCCGCTATCAACGCAGTCTACGGTCCGCCGACGAAGGGCACTGCTCCTATCCTCAGCGGTGACGGTAAAACCCTCCTGACTGAGAAGACGCAAATTTTGCAGCGATGGGCCGAGCATTTTCGAGGCATCCTCAATGGCCCCTCCGCCATCTCCGTCATTGCCATCGACAGGTTTCCGCAAGTGGAGACCAATTTGGACGTCGACCTCCCGCCATCTCTCCAGGAGACCATCAGGGCCGTGCAGCAGCTCTCCAGCGGGAAAACACCCGGATCGGACACAATCCTTGCTGAGGTCTACAAGCACGGAGGTCCCCAACTGATGGACCACCTGACTGCGCTCTTCCAGAAGATGTGGCGTCAAGGTGAAGTCCCGCAAGATTTCAAAGAAGCAACCATCATGCATCTCTACAAACAAAAAGGGAACCGCCAAGTCTGCGACAATCACCGTGGAATCCCCTTGCTGAACATCGCTGGGAAGATCTCGCTCGCATGATTCTCAACAGCCTCAATAACGATCTCGAACGTGGCCTACTGCCGGAAAGTCAATGCGGCTTCCGTCGTCATCGTGGGACCTCGGATATGATCTTCGCAGCCCGCCAACTTCAGGAGAAGTGCCAGGAGATGCGGACCCACCTGTACTCTACCTTCGTGGACCTGACGAAAGCCTTCGACACGGTGAATCGTGAAGGACTGTGGAAGATCATGCAGAAATTCGGCTGTCTGGAGCGATTCACTCAGATGGTGCGTCAGCTGCACGACGGTATGATGGCGCGAGTCACGGACAACGGAGCTGTCTCAGAGGCATTCGCAGTGACCAGTGGAGTGAAGCAAGGCTGCGTACTGGCGCCTACCCTCTTCAGTCTTATGTTCTCTGCCATGCTGATGGACGCCTACCGTGACGAACGCCCCGGGATCCTCATCGGCTACAGAACGGACGGTCATCTCCTGAATCAACGGCGCATGAACTTCCAATCGCGCGTATCCACAACCTTCGTCCACGAACTCCTCTTCGCCGACGACTGCACCCTGAATACCACCTTGGAAGAGGAGATGCAACGCAGCATGGACCTGTTCGCCACCGCCTGCGAGAACTACGGTCGGGTCATCAACACGCAGAAGACGGTGGTGATGCACCAACCGCCACCCAACTCAGCCAAAGCCTCCAACGCGCCGCCACAAATCAGCGTGAATTGGACCCAACTGCAAGTGGTGGAGAACTTCCCATACCTGGGCAGTACTCGCTCCCGAAACACCAAGATCGATGACGAAGTCGCTAACAGGATCTCGAAAGCCAGTCAAGCTTTCGGTCGCCTCAAAGCACAGTTTGGAATCGCCACGGTCTTCAAGTGAACACGAAGCTGAAGATGTATAAGGCCGTCATCCTGCCGACGCTACTTTACGGAGCAGAGACGTGAATGTTGTACACGAGGCAGGCACGCCGACTGAACCACTTCCACCTCAGTTGTCTTCGTCGCATCCTGAGGCTGAACTGGCAGGAACGAATCCCCGACACTGATGTGCTAGAACGTACGGGAATGCTCAGAATCTACTCCATGCTGAGACAAATGCAGCTGCGCTGGAGCGGCCACCTGGTGCGCATGGACGACGAGCGACTACCCAAACGACTCTTCTACGGAGACGTCGCGACGGGTTCTCGCCGTCAAGGAGGCCAAATTCGCCGTTGCAAGGATACTCTGAAGTCCTCCCTGAAGCGTCAGCAAATCAACCCGACCAACTGGGAAGAGTTCGCCCGCGATCGTCTGACATGGAGGAGAACAGTGAAGACGGGCGCTGCTATCCACGAAGCCAATCGCATCGATGCCGCCAAAGCAAAACGCGAAGCCCGCAAATCACAGCTACGCCCAGTCCGCATCGCCGATGCACAACCGATCCCAACGTGTCCTCGATGTCAACGGATATTCTGGGGTCAAATCGGAGTTGTTGGACACCTTCGGATTAACTGCGCCTCTCGAACTGCACCAACC